GGTGGGGAAAGGGGGGCGGGGATGGGTAAGGCAGTAGAGACAATAAGCACAAATCACCCAAGGGACAGCCAAGAATGAGACAGAGAGAAAACATTAGAGAGTAGCCTAAAGAAGCATGTGGGGTAAAGAGAAACATTTACAGGCCAAGGGGAAGAAAGCAGTAAAGAGATAAACAAATATGAGAAGGAACTGATAGAACACTGGAGGTGAACTGATGATGTTATTAATTTATTATTATTAGCAAAAGCTACCTTTTACTGACCATGTGGTATATTCCAGGAACTCTAAGTGCTTAGCCTTGCAATCTCATTAATCATGAAAACCAGATAAGGTAGGTTTGATTGTCTTCATTACAGAGAAGGCTGAGGCTTAACAGAAGTTAACCCATTTATAGTAAGTTTTGGAATCAGGATTCAAGCTGAAGTCTGGGTGGCTGACTCCAAAGCTTGTGCTTTTAACCACTTCCCAATAAGCTGCTCCATGATCAAAGGCACAGGTGGAAAACATCGCCTTAAACAGGAGTAAGGGGCACCTTATTTTCTCACATGGGAGGAAAGGAATTGGGAATGGTTGCGGATATAAATAACTGCTTAGATTAAGATGTAGGAAATAGAAGGAGCTCATACCTCTTGGCCTCAGTCTTGTTGATAAAGCAGGAGGTAAGGTGGTCTGCTAAGAGTAGGAGAGGTGAAAATGGAAAAGGGAGCTTTGAAAAGAGTGATAAAGACTCAGAGAAATTATGAGGGGAAGGGAACAAGCAGCTGATTAAAGTCAAGAAAAAAAATGATTCAGTGAGCTAAGGGTGTCCATAAACTTATGACATCAGCAATCTGCACAGTTGTATGATTTTCTACAGAAGGCTTTAGGCCCCTGAGTTAGTAGTAGACAAACTATAGCAGTGATCCGAGCATGGACTTATATATAGGTAAAGAAACAAGAGGGTATGAGAAAGTAGCTTGGATCCATGAATCCAGACCGAGTAGAAAAGGAAGAGGGTGAATAGATTAGGAGAAAATACCCCTAGACTACCTGGGAGATCCTTTGGCTTTATAGGAGATCCTATTATAAATCATTACCAGGGGCTTCCCTGGTGGCGCCGTGGTTGAGAATCTGCCTGCCAATGCAGAGGACACGGGTTCGAGCCCTGGTCTGGGACAATCCCACATGCCGTGGAACAACTAGTCCCGTGAGCCACAACAACTGAGCCTGCGCGTCTGGAGCCTGTGCTCCGCAACAAGAGAGGCCGCCATAGTGAGAGGCCCGTGCACCGCGATGAAGAGTGGCCCCCGCTTGCCACAACTAGAGAAAGCCCTCACACAGAAATGAAGACCCAACACAGCAAAAATAAATAAATAAATTAATAAACTCCTACCCCCAACATCTTAAAAAAAAAATCATTACCGGTGGAGACATTTAAATTTATAGTTTAGAGGCCATATTTAAATGACTTCTGAAGTCATGACTGCAGATGGAGAAGTTAGAAATTTAGGGAGTAGTGTATATGGTGGAGATGGATGAAAAAAGAATAAAATATTTCACTAAGAGCACTCTGAAATGGGATTTAGACAAGGAAAAGAAAACAAGTGAAATTGATAAGTCTATATGAGGGGGTGGGAAACAGAAGAAAAAGAGAAAGAGATACATACTTTTATGTTTCATTGTGGGCTCCTTTCACATTGAAGAAACGCTTAAAAAAAGTTTTACACAACTAATATGAAAAAAAATACCAGGAGAATTCAACAAGTCCATGATTAATATGAATTCTGGCAAGATTACAGAGGATCTAAAAAGCATGCAAAAGGTAAAAGCGATTTCAAACATTTTTGCAAATAAAATAGAAAGTGCACAGCTCTTATTCAAAAAGAATATTTTTGAAATTGTGCAGAGTCTTGACCTTGGGACTTAAGAGTGTACTTTGGAACTGATAAGTCTTACGACTGTAGAGAAGGCTGAAAACAGAGATTATATAACAGTTGCTTTTACAAAAAATAACTCCTACATTGAAAATTAGCTACAGATTTGAAAAAAACAGATGGCCACTGGCAGGACAGTTATTAAAGAACTGACAATAAAAGATCCCTTTCTTGGATCATTTATTTACACTTTTATTTATTTAACAAATATTTATTAGTGTCTAATATGTGCCAGGCCCTAGAGGTAGAATAGCAAACAAGAGAGCATGGACACTACCTTAAGGAGTTTATAATCTATGGAGGAGATAGACAAGTAATTATGAAACAATGTGATTATAAGTGAAGTGGGCAAAGGGTACTAGGAAAAAATGTATAGGGACATCTAGTCCAGTCTGGAAGAGGTTTTTTGGATATCCATGTTGAGATCTGAAGGCTGAATAGGAGTTAGCCAGGAGAAAGAAGCGGAGGGATATGGGGAAAAGGTCCAGAAAGAGAACAGACTGGTGGAAACCTGGAGGCATGGTAGCATGGCCAGGTTAAGGAACGAAAAGAAGTTTAGTAAGGCTAGTGTGTTATAAATTGAAGTGAGAAATGGTGAGGGCCAAGGCTGAAGTGAAGAGGTAAGAGCTGGGTCTCATCATAAGAGACCCCATAAGCCACATTAAGGATGTGAACTTTATCCTGTGACAATCTCTACACCAGGATGTTGCCTGAGGCAGACCAGCTTCAATATGTGACCTCTGATTTCAGATTTTGTTTCAAATAAATCTTTCAGTTCATACAAAACAGGAAAAATGAGGGGAAGGTGTTTCTAAGGTAATCACACCTCTCCAGAAAGGTGCTTTTTATTAAATATTTACTAGGACTATTATGTGCCAGAAACTGATCTAGATGCTGGGGAATACAGCAGAAACAAGACAGAGAGTATCCTGGACCTCATGGATTTTACATCTAACGAACACAAACGAACAAGTGATAGATATGAAGAAGAAACTAAAACTGGGACATGAGATAGAAGGTGGCTGGAATGGAGGCTACCTTGACTGGGGGTAGGGCGTCAGGTAAAGCCTCCGCGAAGTGACATTTTTACTGATACCTAAATGATGATGAAGTAGCCACATAAATATACGGACAGAGAATAATTCCACGCAAAGGATTCTTTGGGTCTTAGTTCCTCACTTGTAAAGAGCAGGTTTGAGAATTAAATTTAATATTGCATGTGAATGCATGTGTGAAAGTTAAAGTACTATATGGCATACAAGATCAGAAAGCCACTTTCTTGTTTCAACTTGTCAATCAATTATATCCATGTTAAAAATGGTTATAACCATCTTAGTGGTTATAATGTAATGCCAATTTCCTCACTGACATTCTTATTTTTATTCTGAGTGAAAAAAATGCTACTTAAATATTGTCATTTTTCTTGAGTTGGTACTAGGGCTAAAAATAACCCTGAGTTGTCATAAAGGGCAACAGGAAGCCTTGGAAAAGTTAGAAAAGCAAGAGAATTACATGTCCAGATTTTTGTACATTGATGCCTTTGAATATTATGCAGCCAATAAAAACTATAGTTATGAAAACTTATAAAGAATGGTAATTTTAAAAACAAAAAATTTATTGTATCAGGATGTTCCTTGTTTCATGCTCTCTAAAATGTTTTAATAAAAGGTTTTCAAGAAACAAGGACAATGCTCCACTCTGAAGACAGAAGTATTAGGATAAAGCAATACAAAAACAGAAAAAAAAACCAACCCTAAGATTTAGTTTACTTTAAACCCCCAGAAGGAACCGTTTCTGTCATGTGGCACTGAAAAGAAAGAATATTTTAAATTACTCGAAAAATGGGGGTGGGGTGGAGGGAAGATCAGTAATTAGGTAGTCTGAGCTTCTACAAATTTTATCAGTTGGCCAACAAATATTTATTGAGGGCTCGCACTTGGAGGGAGGATAGAGCTATGAAGAATTTATCTCAAAAAATAAATTCATAAACAAATACATAAATATCAGTGCTATGATAAATGCTGTGAAGAAAATAAAACAGAGTAACTCAATGAACTGACATGGTAAAAGCAAAAGGCTCACTAGATGAAATTTCTATAGAGCAGGGACAAGTCTGTCTTATTTTAGGTTTGTATCCTCAGAACTTTATATAATGCTCGATAAAAGTTTGCCGACTGTACGAATGAATGAAGTTGGCCAATCGGGAAGGAAAGAGGGTTAGAAAAAGATCCGAAAGCGTGGGCAGCAAATAGAGGATGAAGGATGGAGTTGTTACTGTACAAACGAAACCTGATACTTATTAGATCTCTGAAGTGACGGCGGCAAATTTCTCCGCATCCGGATTCAGGATTTGACAGCTAAACCAGCAAAGCCCTCACGTGTCCCCAGGAGCCAGCAGGGATTGGCGAGTCGCTCCCTCCCCGCCCAGCACCACAATCTTTCCTAATCCATAAATCAGCGGCGCAGTCCAGAGCTTCGGGGCGCTTTGGGGGCAGCTCCCTTCTCACGGCACCCGCTCTGAGAGCTAAGGCCACCTGACCTCTCCCAAAAGTGAACGGAAAACCTGGGGGTGGGGTGGGGTGAGGAGGAATGGAGGCTGGGCGGGGGGCGCGGACCGCCGCAGGACGCCTCCTGACAGCTAGGGGGCAGGGAACCAGATGCAGCAAATCCCACACCCTCCCCGAGCTCTGGGCACGGGTGAGGCGGGCACTGGCCGCGAGCGAGAAGACCGAGACCCCGGGCCAGCCCGCATCGCTGAGGCCCTGAGGAGACGACTCGGGAAAGGGAGGCTGAGGAGTCCTGGGGCGGAACGCGGTGGCTCACCTGGGAGGTAATCATGATGCTGGAGTCGATCAGGAAACTCATGGCGAAGTATAAGGAGGGCTCGTGCCTCCACTTCGCACTCCCCAAGGCCACAGCACACTCTGACCACGGGCCCCCTCACACTGGCAGCTGTCGCCCGCGGGCCACTGCCAGGACCTCCGCTCGCCAGCCCGACGCCATCAAGCTGCGCCCCAGCCAGCCAATCAGCAGCTACGTCCAGCGTTTCCCGCCTCGGGCTAGGAGTGGGCGGGTGCTGAGGAGCTGAGGGCCAGGGGAGGGGCCAGGGAGGGGCCGCTCTGGGGGCGGGCCTTAATTAGAGGTGGCCTGGCTAAAAGGGGCGGGATACAACAATGTGGTCTGAAAATTCAAAAGCAGATGTATTGCAAGGTAGCATTTCCATTTCTGAGGCTAAAGGAGGTGGGGCCTGAGCTAACATTTTAAGTGGTAATTTTATTTTATAATGGTCATAGCTAATAAGATGAAGTTAATAGTAATAATTATTATATTGAGTTAGACCATTTAAAAAAAATGAGTTAGACAATAAATCAGGCATTGTGATCTAGATGTTACAACTTATACTTGGCTCCACAAACAACTGCATAAAGAGGGAAGAGTGGAAAGGCAGGTTTTAGCAAATAAAGCTAACCCAGTAAATTTCTGATGTGATAACAACAATAAAAGCACACCATCTTTAACAAGGGAGTGATCCATCTCATTGTACTTGATGCCCATCAGACCACACCTGGAGTATTGCATTCTTTTACCACGCTTTTAAGAGGCAAGTAGATGTATTGGAGAATGCTCAGAGGTGAGTCACCAGATGAGGACAGATGAAAGGAATCGAAGAAAGAAGACGCAGGAACATTGACAGCTGTCTTCATTTGAAAGAATGGATAGACTTCATATGGCCCCAAGAGATATTTGTAGGACAAAGGACTGGAAGTTAAATGAAGATAGATTTAATTCAAAACAAGGAATAATTCTTTAAGAGTCTGAAGATCAGTTATTTTAGGAAATAATCTCCCCCACCCCCTCCACCCATGTTGGAATTGCTCACATGTAGACTGAATCACTACTTCATCCATTCAATACTCATTGCGTGAAGGCTTAATGCACTGCTGTAGGGCTTATCCTTTCCCACCAGGACTCTAGCTATTCCTTGTAGTCCCTGTAGTCTTGGCCTGAAGCCGGCTCCAGCTGAGGGCAATCACCCAGTGTGGGATTGAAGGCTGCAGTCAATACTGGAAGCACAGCCTTGAGTGGACCAGCATCTTCGACCAGAGTGCTTAGATTACTGCAATCTGAGTAACTGAGACTCAGATTTATTACACACAAGGGAATGTGTCTTTATTTCTTAGACTTGAACTCTACTCATACTAAGCAGCCCAAACTACCTATCAGATGTCCAATCCCCAATCCCGAAGGTGAGGGAGCAGTGGAGGCAGCCCTACTAAGGGAGAGTCTTCAACCAGAGAACTTTGTGTCCCTGGCTACATCTATCAGGGAAGCAGTAGCATCTGTGTAGGCATATGATGAGTTAGATTGTCATCTGTCAAGACTGTGGGATAGTGCAGAATGCTGGGTTAGCCTACCAAGGCAAACAGTTTACCTTGGTGGCTTACTGGAGTGCATCGTGGGGATCAGGGTCTCAATGAATCTGGCAGCAGAAAAAGGTATGTAATCTCACTGGCCCCAGGGCTGTGTAAAACTCTGAAAGACACCATTCAGGATTCTCCCTATTGTTAATAACTGTGTCCAGGTCAAGGACAGGCATGGGTGACCCAAAGAACCACTGCCCCCTGCTTTTGATGGAATGTCTCCAGAAAACCTTCACACTAGATTAACGTCCAAATTGACTGTCCTTTCAAAGCAGGTCTCTTTCCTGGTGGTGGTGGACTCCGTCACCAAGATGGCTTGTCCTCTTACCCTTACCTCAATACTGTTCTCCCAATGCACTCTAGCTGCTGCAGTCCTGTTCAACAGTGAGATCTGCTTCTGCCTCCATGGACTGTCAAGCCACCTGGGCTCTAACTAAGCTCCCTGTTTGTATCCATTTTCCAAGGATGCTTTCCAAAATAGTTCATGTTCATAGTTGCTGGCCATTGTTTACCATTCATCTAGAGACTGACAGCCAGACAGCCACATAGATCTACTCTTAAAGAGTCTGCTGACAACATGACCAATCTGTGTCCCTTGGACCAGTGTTTGTTCACATCAATTTTTTGCACTCTTTCATAGCAGCTACAGCACCTGTCTTCTCACACTGTCCAGCACCATCCACATCCTGACAGCTAACTGTATTCCCCTCTTCCTCCAAATTCATACAAAAGACTGAGCCTAGGAGCTGACACAAACACTAGATCCTTGGGAAACATCCTAGCACCTCTTCTCCTGCCCATGCCAGTGACTGGATAACTTCTGTTAGGAATTTTCATTTTAAACTTTTTGTTGTGATATAGTAGTAGATTCACATGCAGTTGTACTAAACGTACAAACGGATTTTTGAGATATATGACATCATCAATTCCATGGCATCCTACTCCAGTTGTCTCCCTCCATGTATAGCCATCCTACCATGTAGCTTTCCTTGCTATGTCAGGTTCACTGAGACCTTGAACCCCACTCTATACCCCAGTAATCCACCAAGGTAGGCTGGCCAGGAAACCCCAAATATTCAGAGAGGAGACACTTCCTTCCCAGTGGTCCCATGGACAGCATCTATACTTGGTACCTAAAAAGTGTATAGGTGCAGTTTTCTCAAAGTGTGGTGCTGTAACTGCTTGGGAAGCTTGTTTAAAATGTAGATTCATAGGCCTTAAGGCAGACCTGTGGACTCAGGATTTCTGAGGGTGGCTCCCAGGAATCTGCATTTTTAACAGCTTCCATACACACTGACAGAACTGGAGGACTGGTTGTGAGACTCTGCTTCCCACCTCAAAGCCCTTCTTCAATGGGGAAAGGTCAGCTCTGGTTTGCCTGGAGAAAGGGGACCGAGGGCCAGAGTGTTTTGTGTGTGTGTGTGTGTTTTTAATTGATTTATTTTATTTTTGGCTGTGTTGGGTCTTCGTTGCTGCACGCGGGCTTTCTCTAGTTGTGGTGAGTGGGGGCTACTCTTCGTTGCGGTTCGCGGGCTTCTCATTGAGGTGGCTTCTCTTGTTGTGGAGCACGGACTCTAGGCACGTGGACTTTAGTAGTTGTGGCACACGGGCTCCATAGTTGTGGTTCGCGGACTCTAGAGTGCAGGCTCAGTAGCTGTGGCACACGGGCTTAGTTGCTCCACGGCATGTGGGATCTTCCCGGACCAGGGCTTGAACCCGTGTCCCCTGAATTGGCAGGCAGATTCTTAACCACTGAGCCACCAGGGAAGCCCCTACTCATTATTATTATAATGAATTTACATTCACAGTTTTCCTTCATTATTACTCTGTTTAAACATATATTTAAAATTTCTGGTTGCCAATTATTCCTGTTGGATTGAAAAGACTGATGATTGTATATCTGCCAAATTTGGAAAGACTCAGAGGCATTATTTAAAATATATAACATTAAATCTTTTCCCATTTATTAAAGCTAATTTGGGGATTCCTTATTAATATAATTATAATGCAGAGTTAATTTGATCCATGTAATTTGTGAATAAAAGGGAAGAATATATAGAGAGGAAATTTAAAATTGAATATATAAATTGGAATTCACAAAAAAAAGTAAAATATGTGCATGCTTTTCCCATAAGAACTGTTGTGAACTTCTCCACACTTAAATTTGGGTTTCCTGTCCTCTGGGCCTGCACAGAGCAGAAAGCTTTCCTTATCTCCCCACCACTTCCTGCTCCAGGACTAAATTCTTCTCTGGTTGACTAACATCAAGGACATTCCCTCATTTTAGAGAAGCCCCCACCTTTCTCACTGGATTGTGATTTGCCATCAGGACTTTGGAAAGACAAGTACCAAGGAGCTCAATCCTGGCATATTTCCAAAGTCTGAGATATTCAGTCTTATTCTTGGTTACTCTGTTATATGCCCACACTTATGCAGGTATACTTTTTCAGTTTTCCCACACTGGGTACAATGAGCATGATATTTTGTTATATACTTTTTCCACTTAGAAATATATCATGAACATATTTTCTCACGCCAAAGGTTTTACATTTTTCATTGATTCAATAACATTCCAATCATCTGATTACGCCATGATTTATTTAACCAGTATGCTTTTTTGTTTTTGTTTTTGTTTGTTTTCTGTAATAAGATAATAATGTGGTGAAGAATTTGGCCCACAAGAAACACTTACCCAAGCCCTCAAGTTTCCCTGGGCAAGGGGCAGTCACCATGTCTGTGACTCAGCAAATCTGGGGCCACACACATTAGCTCCTCCAAGGTTGGCTCCTGTGGCAGCCTGAGGTGGGCCTGCAAACTTCTGAAGATTAGTAGGTGGCTAATGACTAGTAAGATGTCAGGCTTCCCTCCAAGCAAGTGTTTCCCAGAAAAATCTCAGAGGTTTTCCTTGAACCCTTATTTGGAGGTGACGGGAGGGGAAACATTGCAGCACTTTATTTTTATCTGAAAGTGAATGCCCTCGCAATTAAACCTTATCATTCTCTTAAATAATCTGGAGCAGGTGGTGGATTAAGGGTTGCAAGACCATTTGGGGGGGGGCACCTTTTTTTTTTTTTAATAGCAGTTCTGGAATGTTTTTCCTTTGTTTCACTCTTCAGAATGTATAGGCACTGAGCATTCATCGTCCTTGGTTTTGCAGCCTTGGCTGAAACTCTAAGACATAGGAAATATTCCATTTAACATTCTGTTACATATCCACTAAGTCAGACTTGTAAATTATATTCAGGTCCTCTATATTTTTGTGTTCTATTTATTTGTCAAGAACTGAAGGAGGCATGTTAAAGTCTCTACTACTATTTTTCTGTCTATATCTCCTTGTATTTCTGAGGGCTTCTTATAGATGCCATATCTTACAGTGCAAAATGATCCATACTATGTCTTTGTTCCATGTTATATTTTATATCCATACAAATAAATATTTGGTTTGGTTTAATGATTCTGCCTTCTTGTTCTGTGTGTCTGTTGTTAATTTTTCTGTTTTCTGTTCTCTCTTTTTTTCTGTATGGACTGTGTGTTCCTTAATTTTTTCCCCTGGTACTTTGGAAGGCATACATTTTGTTTTAAAATAACACACGCAACCCTATGTTTTTCTAACTGC